ACGTGCTCATCACAAGTTTGCCATCACCCCTTGGCCAGCCTTGCAGTCATGCCGGTGCCCGTCACCTCTGCAGTCGGCGTCTTGGCCCTTCTGAACGAGCCGGAAGCGGAGCTGCAAACGTACGCTCTGCAAAAGCTCAACTCTCTAGTTCCGCAGTTTTGGGCAGAGATTGCAGACTCAGTGTCCAAGATCGAAATCCTGTACGAGGATGCAGCGCACCCCAGCAGGCAACTGGCAGCACTCGTCGCCTCCAAAGTCTACTGGAATTTGGGCGAGTTTGACGAAGCGTTGAGCTTCGCATTAGGCGCCGATAAGCTGTTCGACGTGGAGAGCAAGGACGAGTACACCGACACCATCATAGGTGAGGCCCGCTAGCTTTCCCCGTTGCGCGAGTGCGACAATGTCGTCTGAGGCTGATGACATTGTTCTACACGCTTCATTGCCCACCTCCAATTCTCAGCCAAGGCCATCGACGCATACATCGAGCAGCGGGCTGCTGCGACCGGCGATGCTGCGCAAGACGACGACAAGAGGCTGTCCTCCATCGTTGAGCAGATGTTCTCTCGCTGCATAGCTGAAAAGGAGTACAAGCAAGCTCTGGGCATTGCTCTCGAGACTCGTCGCCTGGACGTCATCGAGAAGATCTTGAGTCAAGTCAGAGAGTCTTCACTGATGCAATACACTCTCGGAGCTACGATTGGCTTTGTGCAAAGCTTGGAGGTCAGGACGCAAGTGTTGCACCTGCTTGTCAAGCTCTTTCAATCACTGCCTCAACCTGATCACTTTAGCATCGCTCAGTGCTACGTCTACCTCAACGCACCTCAGCTCGCCTCCACTCTTCTGCACGATCTCGTGCACAAAGCTCACACTGATGCTGCTGCATCCGCGTCTGCCAACACCGAGAATGACCCTCTTTTGGTCGCTTACCAGATATCTTTCGACCTAGCGGAAAGCGCCACGCAAGAATTTCTCGAGACTGTGAGATCCGACCTTCAGACCCGAGTCGCGGGAGCGCAGCCGAAGATCGAGAGCAGCTCCGCCATAGCCCAGGCGGACGAAGATGTTGAGATGGGCGATGCAGCGGCAGGAACAGTTTCGAGTGCCACCAGCGCACACACAGCCGAGGAGAGCACGCTGGCTAGCTGCATCGCCCAGATTAGGAGCATACTCCTCGGCGAAGAATCCATTCAGCTGTACCTGGATTTCTTGCAGCGAGCTAATAATGCGGACCTGACAATTCTCAAGGCGATCAAGGACACGCTCGATGCACGCAACAGCGTCTATCACTCGGCAATGACATTTGCAAATGCGTTCATGCACGCCGGCACGACGAGCGACAAGTTCCTGCGGGAGAACTTGGACTGGCTCGCCAAGGCCAGTAACTGGTCCAAGTTCACGGCTACCGCTGCGTTGGGCGTAATCAACAAAGGACATCTCAAAGAGTCCATCAACCTCCTCAACCCGTATCTCCCAAAGGACGGCTCTACCGGCAGCGTCTACAGCGAAGGAGGATCTCTGTTTGCTCTGGGGTTGATCCACGCTAATCACGGTGCCGAAGTTTTGGAGCTGCTCAAAGACACGCTCAAGAACAACCCAGCTGAAGTCGTTCAGCATGGCGCTGCGCTTGGGCTGGGCGCTGCAGGCATGGCTACCGGCAATGAAGAAGTGTATGAAGAGCTGAGGAACGTCCTGTACACTGACTCGGCCATTGCGGGCGAGGCTTCTGGGTACGCGATGGGTCTCGTGATGCTCGGGACAGGATCAGATCGCGCGGTAGACGAGATGCTGCAATACGCCCACGAAACACAGCACGAGAAGATCATCCGTGGTCTTGCGATTGGTCTTGCCCTCATCTGCTACGGCCGCGAAGACAAAGCGGATACCGTCATTGACACTCTCATGTCGGACAAGGACGCCATTCTGAGGTATGGAGGCATTCACGCCATCGCTCTTGCCTATGCTGGTACTGGCAACAACAAGGCCATTCGGCGTCTTTTGCACGTCGCCGTTTCTGACGTCGCAGACGATGTGCGCCGCGCTGCTGTTACTAGCTTGGGATTTCTCTTGTTCCGCAACCCCACCCAGGTGCCACGGATTGTCCAATTGCTCAGCGAAAGCTACAATCCGCACGTTCGGTACGGATCGACTCTCGCACTGGGCATAGCCTGCGCGGGGACTGGTCTGGACGAAGCGCTGGACTTGCTGCAGCCCATGCTCAAGGATCCGGTCGATTTTGTACGACAGGGCGCGGCCGTAAGCCTGGCCATGGTTCTCATCCAGCAGAACGACACGCTCAATCCTCGCGTCGCCAGTGTGCGCTCGGCGTTCGAAAAGACTCTGACGGACAAGCATGAGGATGCTATGGCCAAGTTTGGTGCTGCATTGGCCCAGGGACTCATCGACGCAGGTGGCCGCAACGTGACTATTGGTCTCCAGAGTCGATCGGGCAGCAGCAACATGCCCGCGATCGTCGGCATGGCTCTCTTCACTCAGTTTTGGTACTGGTTTCCAATGGCACACTTTGCCAGTCTAGCGCTCACGCCAACCGCGGTCATTGGATTGAATAGAGACCTCAAAACCCCAAACTTTAGCTTTGTCTGCCAAGCCAGGCCTAGTCTGTTTGCCTACCCTGCAATCATCAAGAAAGAGAACGAGAAGAAGGTCGAGAAGGTCGAGACTGCTGTCCTGTCGACAACAGCCAAGGCTCAGGCTCGCCAGCGCAACAAGGAGAGAGAGAAGCAGCGCGAGGAGAGAGGTGAAAGCATGGACATCGATGCAAAGGCACCCGCCAAGGCGGCTGGAGATGACGGTGCCAGCAAAGCTGAGGGCAAAGCAGCCGGCTCCGCCAAGAAGGAACGCAAACCGGCCGAGCCTGCTCAATTCCAGGTGCAGAACTACTCGCGCGTCACGCCTACCCAATTGAAGTACGTGACCTTTCCCGCCGATCTGAGATGGCAGCCGATCAGACCAGTGACGGGTCTCGCTGCACGCACCGGAGTCGATGTTCATAGCACAGCCAGTGTTGCCCCCAAAGGGAAATTAGGAGTGCTAGGCAATCTGACCCCTGCACCAGGTGCCAGCGGAACAGTCACCCCTAGCCAGGCCAAAGGCGCGCCTGCAGCTGCGGCGCCAGCCAAGACGACCTTGGCCACTGGGCCAAGTGCTGAGGCAGCCCGAAGCATTGCCGCATCATCCAGCGGCGGAGGTGGGGGCGGTATTCTGCTGCTCGTCGACCGACACCCACAGGAGGCTTTTCAACAGCTACGGCTCGATGAGTCCTCTTCTGAAGCCCCGCAACAGGCGCCAGAGCAGCATCAAGCTCAGCCTGGTGGAAGCGAAATCTCGCCGGAGGATGCGGCTGCCATTGCACGTGCGCTCAGCGGCGAGGACGAGATGGACGAGGACGATCAAACTGGGGTACAAAGCAGCAGACGAGGCGACGGCTCAGGCGGTGGAGGTCCTGGAGCCAATCAACCTGGTGACGGAACTGCACGTTGATGGGTTGCGTTGCTTGCCTCGCATCTCGTAATGACATTCGAGTTGGACAAGATGATCAAAAGGCGTGTCATGTGTGCTTGATGTGCTTCGACGTGAGCTTTCAATTTGCCTTACATTGGTATAATGCGCAGCAGACTAGCTTAGCACATGAACAATCGATGCATTAAGGTTCAGCGAGAGGGTGG